GGTCCATGAGTGGTTTGGACATAGGGTCATAGGGTTTTTTTTTGGTTTAGTTTTTGTTTGGTTTTATGGACGTTTTTACTAATATTACCAAAGGACAGGAGCCATTGTCCATGTCTGCTCAGCCGCACCTCATGGACATCATCCAGGTGCGCATTGTTTGCTGATTTTCTCATGGTTTGGACACCTTCCCAGAAAGTTACTTGAAACCATGGGAGGAAATACAGCACAGCCAAGACTTGAAAATAGAATCAGCAAACAAATTTCAGCATGTTTTTTTCAAAGCAAAATCCTTCAATACATGCCTTGTGCAGCAATATGTGTTCAAAGAATATGACATGTCTTGCATAAAGTCACATCATTACGTGCATAAAGCGGCATCATTTTGCACAGTCCTCTTAAAAAGGGAGTGTAGTGTAGTTTTTCTTTGAAAGGAATCTCAAGTCATGTTCAAAGCGACAGCTTATCAAAGTTCTCTTAAAGAGGTAAAGGAATCTATGGAAGAAGGACAGCAGCATTTCAGAATTGAATCTTTTGAGTACCTATTCTTAATAATCATTGTATTCCTTAAGAAAGTGTTGGTGCGGGTATGCTAAAAAGTTGCCTTGATACGGCTGTGAACCATTTGATTGAAACACAGGCAATAATATGAAGAAAAACGTTACTATGAAGTAGAAGTGTACCTATAATATGTTTAGAAAGAGACAGGTAATGACTACAACGTATGAAATATGGCCTTTCATATGAGTGAAACAACCGAAAAATACAAGCACCATTATTTAAAAAAAACACGTTACAAACCAATGTCATGCAGAAAAATGGGAGCGAGGCTTAACTTCATTGAGCACATATTGCATTTGTTCACATATTGTATTTCTGCAAGAATATTGTTTTTTGTTTCAGGGATTATCTTGTCTTCAAAGCAATTAATTATTTCATATAAAGAAGTGAAGTTTTTCCTTTAAAAGCACATATCATGCAGAAAAATGAAAATGAGGCTTACCATTGAAGGATGTACTGCATCTTTCCACACATTACAGTTTTCTTTCAAGAATATCGTTTATTTATTTAAGGGAATATATGTCTTGTCTTCAGGGCAGGCTGCAACCTGGAAGCAGTATGTTCCTTCAAAAGTAATCGAGTTCGACCAAGGATTGCTGCAATGTGCATCGACCATTGCTCCTTTTGACAGCAATACTGAATGCTTAACTTAATACTACAATGTTTTGGAAGACTGCACTTCTACAGAAACGAACAATGCATGTTTTGGGAAACCTCTATATTTCGTAGGGATACTACTTCTTGAAAGAAGTATTGCATTGCCTTGGACGAAAAATGCAGCTTATGAATGAAAGATATAGTGTGAAACGAAGACATCGCTTCTGCCAAAGTAGCACTATATTTTTACATGAATGCCTCATAATTTGCAAGGGTGATTAAAGGGTTGCATTTGCAACTGTTTCAAAATAGTTTAGCTTGCTAGATCTTACTAGGGTGTGGCAGTCTCTCACATTGTCTCCCTCCCATCGGCCATTGTAGTGTTTACATGTTTTTACTGTTTTTTTGGTTGGTGGCGTCTTCATTTGGATGAACATTTTGGCAGAGACATTAGGCATGCTGATGTTTATGAACAATTAGCACCAACAACTTGCTGTAAAACTAACAAAAAAACGCACTCCCCCAGTCCCCCGCTCTCAAAAAAAGAGGACATGGAAGAGGCAGAGAAAGAACAAAGTCAAACATGAAAAGGACAAGGAAGAAGAGCAGGAAGAGAACAAGGAACGTTAGTAAAAAGAGGAAAAGAAATTATCAAGAGGAAGGAATATGACAAATGAACAAGGAAGAGGAACATGGAAGAAAACACAGGACAAGAACGAGGAAGAGGAATAAGAAGAGGGAACCAAACAAGGGAAAACAAATTAATTACTTTACTTCGAGGGATCCCCAGCATGACATTGTTTTGTCATAATTAATGATATCTCAGTAATATCTCATCTATAATATATATATAGTATATATGGCATATATTTTCTGACATTCTATTCTGGCATTCTTTCTGACATTCTTTTGGCATTCTATTTGGCATCTATTCTGACGTCCTATTTGGCATCCTCTCTGGCATCTATTCTGACATTCTTTTCATTTCTGGCATTCTTTCTGATAATGTATTTGGCATCTATTCCGACATTCTTTCCGGCATCTCTTCTGGCACTTTATCTGGCATTCTATCTGACATCCTTTCTGGCATATGTATCTGGAATATCTTCCGAAATTCTTTCTGGCATTTTATCTGGCATTATATCTTCGGAGTTTCTTCGTGGTTGAGGTCCAGGTGGGAACGCTCTAATCCGGAGCTTGCGGTGGAGGTCCGGCGGGGAACGCTCTGATCCGGAGGTTGCTGTTGGGGTCCGGCGGACGACGGAGGAGGAAGGAGGAGGAAGGAGGAGGAAGGAGGAAGGCGGGCTGGCTAACATAAAATCTAACAACCCGCACCTGACAGGTGGGGAAAACGGACAGAACAAACATGAAACAAACAGAACAAGAAGAAACAGCAGTTACAGAAGCTGCGACAAGAGAATCAGTATGTAGGGTAACTTAGTCGTCACTTCTCTGTGGCAGGTAGATGCAGAAAAAAGATTATGAGCACTTCGATTATTAATCATCTTACTTGATTTCAGGACATAAATTTAGCAGCAGCAAAATCAACACTTATTAGTAGAAACCAGGTCTATTTACAATGTATTTTACCTCCTCGAGTACATCTGCAATGGTTAATACATTCCCAGGGCGCTGTCATGCACATGCCTGTAAATAAACCGAATGTAAATTGTACATATGATAGTTCTCACGGAACGGACGAAATATACCCCAAAGGTCCCCCCCACATATATATATATACACATATATATACTATATATATATATACTCTATATATATATACTATACAGCTTGAGTGTTGTACAAGAATTCACTGTATAAGAATGCCGGATTCCGGCCACGACAGAGCCCAGCGCGGCCAAAACCCTGGTATAACGCAAAATCGTGCTGTAGCTCGATTTTGAAGACATACTTTCGCATGAATAGTCAAATCTGCCAACTCCACCTCGTTACCTTGTCTAATCTTGCTCCAAGTTGTGCAGATGCCTGCAATACAATACTAAGAATGCCGTAAGAATTTGAGGGACCCTCGGCCTGTTGTAGTGTAAATTTGCCTGTATTTAAAAATAAGAATTTGAGGGACCCTGGACCTCAAGCTTTCGGATTCTTCACCAGCGCTCGGGCTGTATATATATATATATAAACTATATAACGCCTATATCTATATATATATATTCTATATATACTATACATATATATATATATATATGGTCCCGTCCTCCGTCTCTCAACCCACCCCCCCATGGGTTGGGTTCCCAAGTAGCACCCCCACTTCCATTCTATTTGCAAGCTATTGGCAGCATTTCTGAGGTCCAGCTTCGTATTTGCTAGGTCTTTGCAGCATTTCTGACTACCAGCCTCGCATTTACTATGTACATGCTACCTTTTAGGCGACCTACGTAGCACACATACTCCCTCAAAGTACCTACGTGCTATCTATAGTCATATATACATGTGATACGTATTTACTTCCTACTTACTACCTGTGTACTCTGACAACACTACATGTGTTTAACATATACCGTACCTACCATACATTCCAATGATGCCATGCATACCATACCTATCATACCTATCATACATACCACACATACCATACATTATGAAACATAATTACCACACCTACCATACATACAATAGCAAACATACATGCCATACATACCATACCTACCTTACATATGAAACATTCCATACCCATCATAGTAGCCATACGTACCATACAGACCATACATACTGTCATATCAAACATACCATACCCAACAGACTTACATACCATACCTACCATCCATACAATACCAACCATACATACCATACCTACCATACATACCCAACATACCATACCACACCCCCATCACACCACAGGGGGGGGGGAGGGGGACAGTGCCACACCCCCACCACACCACAGGGGGGGAGGGGGAAGATCTCATATGGGGCCAGTATATGGGACCCATCCCATGGGGGGGGAGGGGGTGGTGGCAGGGCCTGGTGCATATATATATATATATATAGTGTATATATATATATACTATATATATATACAATATATATATACAATATATATATATACTATATATATACTATATATATATACTATATATATATATACACTCTATATATACTATATATATATATACGATATGCGGTATGCATATAATATAGATATATATATATACACATATGTGTATGTAAATATATATATATAATTGGGTAGTACAATGATGTAGAATACCCCATAATCATCAAGCAACAGGGGTTTTGAACACTGCTCAAACGGATGTTCCAGACGTTGTCTTTGCCTGAGCGGCCTTCCGGAGCTCTCTGGCGGCCTTCCGGAGCTCAGGGATGCAGCGCCAGTCTGTTGAGTGTCCCTGTTTAGATCTACGTGGCACCTCGGACCGGATCTTGTGTGTCCTCATGGCTTGTTTCAAGCGTGGAGCCTTCAAGAAGCACAAAAGTAACAGAATTCTGCTGTAAGAGCAAAGGAACTGCTTGAAACTGAAAGTCGTCAAGCAACGTTTCAACAAATGTTGACAATCGATGATCTGCACTCTGCATCTGCCTGGTCTTTCCCCAAGCCACAGCCAATCACTGCCTGCATGGCCTGAGGATTGAAGTTCCAAGGGAGCAAACAATACCACTATGGCATTTATGGGGCACTGATTACCACCTGCTCTGCACCTAGTTCATTTCCATTTATTTCCTACGACTCGTTCTCCCTTCGTGATTTCCCAGGAGAGGACTGCTTGGAGTTTCCAGTAGTCCAGGTCCATGGACTCGATGGCATCCTCGTGGGAATGCTCCAGCCATCCCAGGTCCGAGGTCATCCCAGGTCATCCCATGTCGTCCTCCACCTGACGCACGGTGTTCTTTCGGAACTCCGCTGCCTGGGAGGTTTTCAGGTCTCTGATGCTTCCCCCAGGTGATGTGTCAAAAAAATGAGGGACCAGTCTCACAAGAATTAAGTTGGTTCTGAGTTGGTTAAGTCTTAAATTTAAACCATACTAAATCATACTATACCAAACCAAATACTAAACCATCCAGTTTGGGCCATGATCATAATTTCGACCTCCATGTTTTCCAGCTGCCATCTCCCAACGAACTTCGCACCTCTGCAGCCAGCAAGGTATCCCTTGCCCATCTCACCTGGCGCAATATCCCGCACAACACGAGTTGCATGATGTCGCAGCTGCACGCGCGGTCTTTAGCTGCGCCTCGGGGCCTTGCATCCCTACTTTTTGTGCATCCAGAAGCAACGCCTGGCACGGCATGTCATGGTACTTCATCAACAAGAACAAACACACATACATGTTTCAAAATGATTGAAAAAATATCAACAAAATAATGCTGAATCCTGCTGAAATACATCCAGACACATCCAAGTTACAAGTGAAGCATGTGAAGCATAGTGACCTCAACCTCCTCAGTGCTGCCCTTGTCCACCGCAACGCTCAGTCTCTTTCGGAACTGGCATGCAGACAACAGGAGACGCCCAAATTACGAGACAAGCCCAACTCGTTCCTCAAATTGGCAAGGATGGCGTTATGATGACTTATGTAGAACCAACTCATTTTTTATTCCTTTCCTTTGGATGGCTCATTCCTAGTCTACATCAATCTTGGCTCAAAATCCATGAAAAATTCCGCGTCCGCCCTGTCTCAGAAAGCTGGACGCGCGCCTTCTTTGTGCCTGCATCCTCCTCTTGGAAAACTTCGGGTTTCGATTGAGTCGATTGAGCTTCCTCTGCTGGATTTGGGCGTTGCTGCAGCTTCAGCCGAGGCAAATCGAGTCCTGCAACGTTCCAAAGGCTGAAAGGGGCCAGAAAAATCACCAAGTCTGTAAAACTCCGTTTTCATGGGCTTGGTCCATCTTGGTCAGGTGGTCATGTGATGACTCTCGCTATCCTGCTCCAGGATCTGGTGCAGCTGCTGGGCCTTCTGGCACACCTTCCACACCTTCCTGCGCAGATTCCAACAGTCTCCCGCCACGTCCCGCCACGTCCCGCCACGTCCCGCCAGGTCCCACCTCCGGCCATGGATAAGCTGCAGCAGGTGGCGGTGGCGGCACTCCCTGCCTGCTGGAGGCGACGGATGCGTCGGATGCGTTGCTGTGACACATCCGTCGGATCTCTTTGCTCACTGGATGGCCTTGCAGCTGCTGCAGAGCCTGAGCCTGCTGGCTGTGCGGCATTGACAAGTCGGACCTGACAGTCAAGAACAGATCTGAAATTTGGGCTCACATTGCAAGACAGTGATTGAGGGATATGATGGATATATATATATAGATAGATATAGATATGATGTTTGGCCTCCAAAAGTGGTTTTAGATGGTTATGGGATGTTTCAGGCAAAGAAGCAAATGTGATCAAATGTGGAGAGGTGCTACCACATTGCCCCACAGAAGCCTTCGATCTTAGAAACCCAGAATTCACCGTGACGCGACGCGTAAATCGAATGGGCCGGATGCCCTGTTCAAGAAAGATTTACATGAATCATGTTGCTAAAGAATCTAAAGATACTGGTACATCAATGTACATCACACTTAAGCTGTGGTTTAGCCCCAGTGCACCACCATGACACCACCATTACACCAGCGTAGCGCTTCAATGCACTTTCCATTTGACATTCGTGACATTTCGTGACATTTCGTGTGTTTGGGCCTGTGCCATCGCCACATTGCGCTGGAGGTACCTGCTGCGTGTAGTGTTTTGAATGTGCCATACCTGTCTTCATATGTCCTCGTGGTCTTTCATTGCGAGGTACATCTTCAGAGATGCCAGTTCACAGGGTCCCAGGCATCCAGCTGCAGTTTGATGATGTCTGATGCAGGTCAGGCTCCGACCCATCATCGTACTTGATGGTCAAGGCTCCATTTGACACCTGAGTTGATCACGTTGCACATGGCGAACATTGGTGAACCATGGTGAACCGCTCAAAGCCCTTGGCAGCGCATCTGAGTGCCCAACTTCAATGACCTCAAGCGAACAAAGCAAAGATAAGCTTTGGTAGCAGGGGTGAGGTATGGTGAGGTGGATATTTTGTTCAGCAAACCTTCAGAAATCTGATGGTTTTTCAATGGATGTTCCATGATGTTCCCACACCGAACCCAAAATTCATCCCATTCCCCTGCCTGGCCACGGTGCCAACGACCAGGAACCCATTCCGCTTCCACAAAGGCACCAGGAGCGATGCCTTTTTCAAAACATGCTTGGTACACGTGGGATGGTAGCATCCCGGGTTGACCGGTTGACCATCCCGAAGATGGGATATATATGGAATATATGATGATATATATATATATATAATTATATAATATGATATATGGATATGTTATCCAACTTCTGTCCATTGCACACATGGATCTACATTGATCATTGATCTACATGGTCTGTAGAGGATTTTACATCTACAGCAGACCCACTGAGGTGGGCTGTTGGAAATGAGCATAATGAGCCTTGAACGGGTGCGCCGGGTGCGGAGAAGTTAAAGTCAAAGGTGCCAAACGAACCTGCAGTTGCACCACTTTGCACAGATCTGGCAACCACGAAGGGATTCACATCAGGCCTGTCCATCCTCCAAGCATGAATGTGAGGTTGAGAGATCTAAAGTGTGATGTTTGTATGTGATGTAGCGCAGTCTTGATCTATTACAGTCTGTTGTCTGTGCACATGGAAAGCTGGTCCCATCTTCCCAGAAGAACGTGGATTATTCTAATGGCATCCCATATTATGATTGGCGCTGTATGTGTCCACCATTTGAGTTTCTATGCTAGCTGTTATAGATGGACATCATAGGTGTCTGAACCTCACTGTAAGCTGCCTCTTCCATGCAGCATAATCAAATTCCGGCAGCACTGCAGCAAATCATGCAGAGTGGATGAGGGAGGGCATCACCGTTGAAACAACTGCAGGAAAGCTCTTTCTGCACTGGGCAAAAAAAATTCTGGTGCAGGGCTTTATGCCTGTATCTATACACCGAAAGAGATTCGAAGCAATGAAGGGTAAGATATGGTAAGATAGGGAAATATAATATATATATATACATAATAGTTAATATATATTGTTTATCCTAAAAGACTTGCAATCCTGTGAGCAAAGCCGGAAATATGTGGAAATCAAAAAGAGTTCATTGCAGCGAATCTGTGTCAGTAGAGCAGAGCTCATCTTTCCTGGCGTTCCAGTACCTCCGGGCATTTCTTATGGAATCACTGAACCACTGTCTTTGATTCTCGGAAAGTCTTGTTTCACTTAGTTTACTTACTCTGAGACTCTGAGCTAAAAGTGTAGTGAAAGATGGCAAAAAAAAAAAAAACATCTCTCAAAATGCCAGTTGCCAGTTGTCAGTTGCCAGGGCACTTCTTTCGAAAGAATTTGTATAGCCAGCGCCAAGCAGCGGAGATCAGGCCTGCAGGCTTTGAACAAACGCGAAAACTGGAGATGATCTTCCCGTGATCAAAAAATCTTGGCGTCCGCTGGCGTCCCTGCTTTCGAATCACAGCGCTGGCGAGGTCGGCCAATACTCCTTTTGTATTCATTGATACCTTGGGACATCTTGGATCATCTTGGGATGGCTCAGTTGCTGCAGAACAGCACCCAAGGCAATGTGCTGAAGACCTGTGTGTTTTTCCAACACTATGTCCTAGACACTCAAAAGCTTAAACATTATTTGACTTGGGGAGACTGGTCTGAAATTCCGGCCGTCTTCTTTGTAGATCGAAATGAATCTCATATCTACACATTGCTCTGTGTCTTGCCCACAGGACAACCTCTTGCCCACGGGACAACCTCTCACCACTGTGGTGGGATGGACTTGACGACGCAACTATGGCCAAGTTGCCACTAAAACTGGCAAAGTATTGGCTGTGCATTCTTGCTCCTGGATCAAACATGCCACCATCAGTGCCAGCAAAGTTTGGGGCGTGGTGGCTTCCCCCGTGTATCCGTGCTCGAGTCCTCCGGGGCGTCCAGACTCGTTGACGTTCCACCAACAAATGATGTCTGCGAGACAGCTGTTGGCCAATGAGCAACCTGAGTCACACAGGGTGGAAGGTCTGAAGCACAAGGTTTCTCGATGTCTTTATGGCGATGACTTAATCTTGTGGAGGCTTCACAAAGAATAGGCGAAGCCAATCCCCGCGAGTTCCGAACTTTCCAAGTTCCCACACCCTGTCAAAAATCTAATAAAACAAAGACATTACACAAGTTATCTGGGTCCTCCAACTGAAGTGTCATTGCTGTGCGATCTCATCCTGAAAGTTGCTGAAGCACATGTTGAGAGCTCCTGCAAGTTGAAACGGCCCTGTGAAATGCTAATTGCACTTTGTCAAAGCCCAGGAGATACCAAACCCGCCACAATAGATGATGACATCCCCAATACGGATGTGAGGCGCCTCTGACAGCGTTCGATTTACTGCCCACTGCACTGGTGGCACCACACAGCGTAGAAACCTGTGCATCACAGTTTTGAACGAGGGGAAGGTTTTTTTTTATTATGTGATTGACACTGATTGAATATGATACATATATGCATATATAGTCATATATATATATATATATTATATACATATTCATACATAATATACTGGTTACATATGATTTAATTTGACAAGTGGACAGTCTGTGACGATCCCCCTGGGGTCCAGACTGCGGTTGGACCTGACTCGAAGCCTCACACTTCTAATCTACATTTAAACGATACTTTGAAGTCACATGCAGCTTCACTTTGGACAGATGGACAGTATCTCTCTGATATTCTCTGATCATGAATTCATATATGAATTCTATCCATACAGTCTGAGGTCCGTTCATACAGGACACTTGTGCCCCGTTCTTGCAGTAGCCGGCAAAAGCGTAAAAGAGTAGCCTGGAGGCAGCTCATTGCTGGCACTCGCCCAATGCTTAAACCTCCATCCCAAGACCAGCCTCTGAGATACCATGCAAACAGGCACCAAATGCCCTTTTGTCTCCGCAGGAATTCGCCAAATCAGCTACACCTTGAGGAACATCAAAGAACAAAAGCAGATGAGAAAGAAACCAGTATTTCTGCAACATAGCAGCATGCAAGAGAAGAAAATGTGGTTTGTAATTTGTCATCAGTCTTGTGTGTGTTGCTTGTCCTTTACGCACAGCAAGACAAAGGACGCTATCGACATGAATATTCTGCCTTTGCATTGAGCATAGAGAGAAGCTCGCAGAAATTGTACTGACATCTGTGGGTGAGCAAGACACAGTTGTCAGTTTCTCGTTCAGCAGGACCCGGATGCTCATGGGGCCTGGCTATGCCGAGGTTCAAGAAAGGATTGGTTGGCAGTTTCAATGACAGTCAGCTCTCTCGGGCAGGGATGGAAAATAGAACGTGATTGGAATCACTCACCAGAGAAGTCCATGATAGTTTTGGCAAAACGTCATCGTGCATAACCTCGCACCTCACGTTGGCAGGACCTGAAAAGACATGCTCGCTTTTGTTTGATGACACACCTTCATGGGCATGTGACTTGTTGGAGGTCCTTTCTTGTTGACAGGATGGACAGTTCTACCCTCCAGTAACTCTGCATGGCAGTAGGAAATCTCCCACTAAGAATCCCATTTTGTAGATATTTAATACCCATTTATAGATATTTACAGATATTATATAGATATAAATAACCTCCAAATTTATAGATCTTGTTCTCACCAGAATGATGCTATAAATACCAGCTATATCAGCTATGACCCATCTGGGACACCCAAACTTCCATGGTTTTCGTCATGCTGCGACCCGGAGGAGTCCACCTGGCGATGCTGTGTTTTTTTGTAGGAATAGAATGATGGTCATGATGTCTGTAATCATGATACATCGTTTAATTATAATCATGATATCACAATATATATATATACATTATATTATATATATACATATAATATATTATATATACATATTATATATATATCAATGATATCTGATCATGATAGTATAGTAATAGTATAGATATGTAATATAGTCAGTGTGGATATACGTGTAGTAGACATGGACTTCACCGAGGATATGTCCCAACCGAGGGCAAACATTCGACCTTCAATCAACCCGCAGGGAACACGCTGGGACTAGGTGCACCCGTGCTGGCAGAAGATCGAGAGCCTACGACAGCGCTCCATCTGCGTTGGCTTTGAGAAGTTCTGGACATGCTGGGCCTCGAAAGTCGATGAACTCCAAGTTGCATTCCTCAGCACTTCAAACTTCAAACGACAGAATCTGTTCAAGAACCTCTTATCGTCCTTTTCAGATATTTTTGCTGGGGGCGATGGACTTACCCTTGTCTGAAATAGGATACGCCAATGATTGATCATCATTTACCTCACTAACATGGTCATTTTGAGTATCCTCCAATTTGGACAAACCCGCCACTAATTCTTTATAGTATGAGCCAGTTCACACCATTCCCGACTTGGGCTTCGCACTTGGGCACAACGTCCCAAGGCTTGAGAATCGTGGCCAACAAAAAGCACAGCCTCGCGACTGATTGCGAATCACTGCAGCCAGGTTGGGGGAAGTGAACGGAAACAAATGGTTCTATAATGTTATGGTTAAAGGTGGTTAATCTTGGATACCAAGATTAAAAATAACAAAACATCATAAGACTCTATGTAAACGGATGTAAACTGATGCTTGATGCACCTGGCTTATGGGACAGCTCGTACCTGAATTCCCAACTTCCATCTGGTACCTTGCCCAACTCGTGCATGGCACGCACCATGTCACGTACTGCAGCAAGGTCGTAGAGCTCTTCGGAAAGGAAAACGATGATGGTCTTGACCTTGGAAAATGGGAAAAACGTGGAAAAGCTTGACATGCAGTGAGGGCCTCCAGGGAAATCGTGCTTGAGTTCAGCGATGGATTAGAAAACTGTGTCATAAATGACTTGCATGGCACACGACTCCTATTAACTCGTTGTATTGGGGGCCTAGGAATATATAGATTATGGTCAGCATCTGAGCCGCGGACAGATGCCAAGTCTGCCATTGATACGAAGGAACGGCAAACGCAGCTTGCTCGCACACCTTAAGAGATGGAACAATCGGCAAAAGGACTGCGACGCCAATGGACAGACCGCATATTCCCACAAGTGTGAAGCTGTCCCATTCATCTTGATTCTAAGCATTCCTAAGCTGTCTGCACAAGCTCGCATAAGCACGCTGACACGCTGATGATTTCATGCCAGCCCTGACAAGGTGGCACAGGTAGTCTCAAAATTCAGTGCCCAAATAGAACATTGCAGTGGTCCACAAGATGCAGCACCAAGTTTCGTGCGGAACTGAGGTGTCCAAGATGAAGTCTCCATCCTACACAGGCGGACAAGACCAAATCTGCTAAAGGAACTAGGATGAACTAGGCCAGAAAATGATGACTCCGCAGGAACTCGGCAAGGCCTTTTGACTTCGAAGGCTGCTCCGAAGACTGCTTCGAAGACTGTTTCGAAGAAACGGATCCTTTCACGCCAAACGTCGTGTCCACATCAATAGTCATCGAATTTCATACATGAAATATCATGAAATATCATGAAATACTATACAGAACACCGTACAGTTTCAGTTTCCATCTCCTGTGGAGGTCGAAGAACAACTCCAAGCAAGGAGCCTTGAAGAAGAAAACTCCCCTGACGCAGGGCTTGGAGTTTCGATTCAGGCAATGATCCACAATGGTTTCGCGGTCAATAGATGTTACCCTCTGGTAAACTAACATAGCTATGGAAAATCACTATTTTTAATGGGAAATCTCACTATAAATGGTCATTTTCAATAGCTATGTTAGTTTACCAGAGGGTAATACATTTTACCGGCAAAGATCCTAATCAAAGCTGTTGCTCTGATCTTAAAAAAAACTTCAAAGGTGGCCTTCAGGATAATGTTGCTGGACTCCCTGGGATCCTGAGATCAATCAGTTGCTCACATGCAAATGCTGGAGCTGTGCCATGAGACATGGTGAGGATCATGGGATCTAACAGTAACCTCAGTAGCTAAGACAAACTGCCCACTACAATCAGTCATGGTCATGCTCATTAAAAAAAATGATAGAAATTCACTGCCAGCATCTGCCAGCTAGAAATGCTTCGCTTTGCAGCTGAAGAACACTGGCTGTAGACTGCGATGTGCAATGTCGCACCTCATGAATGATGACTGTCCTTTCGTATTACTGGGTTCCTGAATCGACCACTGGCGGCCCTGGACCCACTGTATTCTATTGGCCATGTGCTACCATTCTGAGAGACATGCTTCGCACGGGGCCGTGCTACCAAAAGAAGCATCCACCAACGTGTCCTGGGAAAGCTGCAGCAGCACTACAGAGTTTCAACATGTTTCAATTAATCTGGTGACCCAATGAACAACCTCCAATTTTGGAGATTTATACTTTACCCTCTGGTAAACTAACATAGCTATGGACAATCACAACTTTTAATGGGAAAACTCACTATAAATTGCCATTTTAAAATAGCTATGTTAAATTACCAGAGGGTATGCCAATTTATCCCACCCATTTCTGATGATATTGAGGATGCATGACATTTTACCACGAAGACAGTTACACCAATCCATGACATAAAACCACGAGCCTCGGCAGCTGTGAGCACTCGGAGGTCACAGGGGGCACGAAGACTTCGCTGCAAATAGATGATATCTCCAACGACCTACCAGCGAATACCAGCGACAGCACCACCAAAAATGCAGGAACTGAGCACTGAGCCGCCAGCCAAATCGGATGTGTGGACGCTGACAAAACTCCGGTCCCTCAACACCTTCGGCAATGTGGGGATGTTCTGTGGTAAATTTCTGGTAAATCGTTATGTAAATCGCAATCTGTACGGCTGGAGACCATTTCCAGCCTCGTAAGTGGATACAAAAACATGTTGAGCATCGTTCCTTGGAGTCCAGCAGTTGTGTGCTGCATCAAAAACCACTCCCGGGAATGTGGGAATCCGCTGTGAGAGCTTGGACTGGACCTGAACTGAGGCTTAAGGCCAGCAACTCAAATTGTGCGGGAAATCTGCTTCCTTGGTGCTGTGTGATAAAGATTGGGAAAGACTGTGTAATCTGTATATAGTCCGCTTAGGATGGGGACATTTTTAGATAAGTTCGATGTAAACTTACATACATCCCAGATGATGCAGGAAGTTCTTAAAACGCCATCAGCGCTAGCATAGATAGCTGAGTCTGACTGGAATTTTGCCAAAAGTCGTTGTATGCCGCTCCAAAGCAGGCTCCAAAGAACGAACGCAAGGAAGGCCTTCACGATTTGAATGAATTATTGTACTGTGCATGTTTCCAGGCGTCGTTCGGTATGGATGCAGTTGACGCAGTTGAAGCATGTACACACTGGCAAGGAAGTCCATCATTTTATAGAAGCCTTTTGCATCCTTTTGCAAGTCGTTCCAAGAATCTCTGCATTCGTTCACTGAGAGCGCCCCAAGCTCTGCCAAACAGTTGACCCTGCGAGGCCTAAATCGAACTCGCTCATGTACACCTGCACATGGTGTTGCAAGTTACCAAGTTGTTTCAACATATTTGTGCCATGGTCAAAACATGGTATGCCATTCATATTGGGAGTCCAAAGATAACGGGCATATGTATGTATATATACATAGTATATGTGTATGTGTATATATATATGTATAATATATATATATAATATATATATATATATATTATACATATATATATATGTATATATATAATATATATATATATACCAGTACCATATCCGTATGGATTAATCCTCATAATGGGCATATAAAGCCCTATGAATTCAATGGGTTGACTGACACCCCCATCGAATGGGACGGCCTGAAAGCCGTCGGGGCAGGTTCTGTAGCAACCCACTGGCCTGGCATCCATGGCCGCCATGGTTAGACCAAACAAAGCAAGTGAGATTGGATAGTTTAGATTAGTTTAATCCAATAATCCCCAATATGTTCATATAAATTTCATATATGTTCAACGTGAAAACTTCTGAGTGATGATGATACACCCGCATTATTTTGCAACTTTTGATGGACAGTATAGTTTCACATTAATATCAGCCCCTATGTCCTCATCAACCACCTGTCGAATTTTTCGCCACTGCCCAAGCTGCTCGGGCCTTCTCCGAAGTCCTCCGGTGGAAATCAACTCCGAGACGCTGGAACAGCACGTGCGGTTCAGCTGTGTGTTCCTGGACGTCACGTCTCCAGCATGGTAAGCTTCAAGATTACCATTGAATGGGTCCTAAGGATTTTGTCTGAAAATATGGCCCCCCCATGGTTTATCAGACTGTCCCTCTTATATCCTCTTATATCTTAATGCCACAGTTTGAAGAGTTTGAAGGTGTCCCTTTCAAACAAACCCATGTTGATCATTTCTCTGAAATTTTGGAATTTCGTATCATTTAACAATATTGAACACCATTTCACGTCATTTTGCCCCATGAAACTGCAATTTCTTATAGGTAAATATGATCCACCACGACCGCTGGCCTCGTAGCGACGCTCCTCGAGGGCCGCCTTCTCCCTCAACAGCTTTTCGCAAGCTCCATGCAACAGCTGGGACGTGGCCTCAAAACACGTAGAGATGGTGGGAAACCCAATGCCATAGACCTACTCAGACCTACTCTTTGGGGATGGTAAACATACCACCCATAAAAATGGTGATTCTGAGGATGGGGACTATTGGGTTCACCACAGACCAAGTGCAAAAACAGCAGAAAACAATCTTCGCATGGGATGCTTGCGAACTGCAAACCCATTGACATGAAGCCGAACATTCAGGACAGGACATCTTTCCGTGGAAATCGATGCTTGTTGTCCCAAACGTACTGCCTCTCCTCAAAAGGAGCAGATTTGACCGAAAGAATCTGCTTTATTTGCGGCTTTTCCGTTTAGCATCATCTAGTATAATTTGGCATCTTACACAGCAGTTCCATCATTGATATTCATTTAGAAACATTTGGAAACATTTCAAAACATGCAACCACAACAACCGCGGTTCATCCGCGGTTGATCCGCGTTGCGGGCCTTGTCAAGTTGAGCCATTTGCTCTTTGTATTCGGAACAAAGCCTTTCGAGAAGGCTGGTTGCTGCCTCTGGGCCTGCTGCGCCTGGGCCATCACCTGGACACGGCGGCAATGGATAAAAAAGGGGAAACCATTTTTTTTTTACCGCCAACTAAAACCTAGACTGGAATATAGGGTGATTTTCCCAACCAATTCGGGAATCTATACTTTGTACCTAGCAACTAGTGGCAAATCCTACCCATCTCTCATCGCATAGTCAAATCATCCACCCAAAGAACAAGAAATCACTGCACTTGTGCCTTCGGCGACGGCGTTCGGCATGTCTAGTTAAAACATTCAAAGCATATGTCGACTCAGACTTACGAACAGCATGGTCAGTGTTCAAAACAGCAGAATGGCTTCAGTGCTTGTTACCTGAATCTGAATGATAAAATACGTATATACGACCTTTGCAACACCTTCGCTAATCCTGTGCATGCTGGGTTTCGTGTTCTTGCAAAACATGACTCAGATAGATTTCAATGAAAAGCTTCCCAAGCCGAAATGCCAGGGCAGAGTCCGCTTTCTGGCATTGCAGAGATTCTGATTGACCGTAAACGATGTTACTAATATTGTATTACACTATGATCTTTCACTGAAATTGAAACTCGCTGCCTGCTGCATGACTCGATATCTCCACGTTTACAAGTATAATCCGCTCTATCATGCTCTACCTCTTGAAGCGAGAAGCTGCTTACATTCTTATTTGAAGCAACGAGAGGCATGTGCACACCTGAAGCAGGTCTAGCTTTCGCCGTGAAACGACAGCTGATGGAGCGTCTGTGCAACACAGAATGGAAAAAGGGTACATCTGAAAATGTATGGAAAGGTGCTGTTTGTGAAACTAGTGCCCTCATTGCCGTGCTTTTGATGTGATCCATAGGAATTTAGCTATGCAAATGTCAAGCTTAATCAAGGGTGATGCGGATTCCTTCATAGGTCTCCTTACCACCCACAAACTCAGGAAACGGAGTGTCCTGAATAACCTGAGCCATTGTGAGAATCAAGCCACACTTGCTGATGATTTTGATGCCAAAGCATCTAACAAAAAATGGCCAAGCACCGTACTCTAATGGCCTTCTGCAATTCCGTAGGAATGATGACTAAGTCCTGGCCAACTGGCTGCTATGCTTGCTATGGTTGCTATGGAGCTGGGTGTAGCCTCGATGATGATCTGCTTGGCCAGGTCCTCTTTGGCCTCCATCATTTGGGAAAGGCACTGAAAATTCACAGGATCCGCACCGCGCATCACCGCGCTTTTTTGCTGCAAACCCAACGGATCCAACGGCTCACCTGTTCATCCTTGTAGACATACACCTGCAATAGCGCACAAGCAGCGCACTTGAAGAGGAGGGTCAAAGCATCAAAGCATCATCTTCTGAGAGACTCTACAAGACTTGTCTCAGGGCAATCCTCAGGTCAGCCTCAATCCCATTGTCGACCAGAGTCATGTCGCTGTCAATGAGAATCTTTCCAGATCTAGCTGCCTGCAACACAAATCAGGCTGACAGCTCCACCACTTTTCTCAACATTCTCAAAATTCCCAGCCTCATTGTAGGCATTTCTGTCCACCACATCAAACTTGAAGAACTCCTCACTTTTCTCATCTGTCGTCCAGTGGATGAAGCTCTTGCCGCCGAAAGCGCTCTGAGCGGAGCAGAACCACACGTCAAACACATGGCTAGCCGTTGATGGTAACACCACCGGCTCTGATCCACAAAGCGACAATGTTATCACATGGTATCACCTTTGAGAAAGACGAGTCCCAAACCGTCTCCATGTCTTGAATGAAGCGCTGGGTAACCGCCTGCAGATGCAGTCCGAATGGATCAAAATGGTAGAGTCCCTGGTAGAGATCAAGAGGATTCAAGAGGTGCCCTGCCTGGAGGTAAAGCCTCATCCTGGCATATGGTTCCTTCTTCCAGGCTGCCACCTTGAGCTCTGAAAAACCACCACGGATTCATATGTACTGTGTATGTATGTATATACATATATATATAGATAGATATGTATACATATACATATATGTATATGTATATATATATATACATATATGTATATATGTGTATATATATAGATATATGTATATATATACGTATATATATATACATGTGTGTTTGTGTGTCATATATGATTCATATTATTCATGACACTCCTGAAATGAACTCCGCCTGCAAGTTGTAAATGAAGGGATTCTTGCCTCAGACTTCGTCTGTGTCGGGACTGTGAGGCTGGTCAAACTAGCGGCAGCACTTGAGCCTACTCAGGCTATGGAGTTGCAACAAAGTTGAATCCATATGCAACTTAGATTTGGGCTTGGCTTTGGTGGGACAGGAGGCAGCACTTGTACAACCTGCACCCAGAGCTTTGTTTTCATCGCAAACCACCCCTTCGCGGCCTCATGGTTGACATGAAGAAAACGAAGCCTTCATGGCACTTGCCGACTTGCTTCCTGCAGCGAAGTCAGTAAATGCAGAAACCATGTAAGAATAAAAGGCTCTTTGATTATCTTTGATTCACAAAACAAGCTGGTTGGGTTTCATGGAGTTTTGTTCAATTTGGCCAGTGCAAATGCTAATCTATGACATGTGCGTGGAATAGAGAATTACAATGAATTACATGTCCCTTCGCGTTGCACCGAAAATACAGACATGGATATATTTCACACCTGTAGATACATTCCTTGCATTTCTTAGGTTGCACACATTGCAGGCGTTGCATGTCTTGCGTACATCGTGTGCGACTTCCATTCTGCTTCACAAGGTTGGCTTGATTTAGACGCTGCACCTCACATCACGGTGAAACAGCGTACGATGCAATGGATATTGGTCCATTGGTAGATGCCTATGTCAATGCTTTACATTGACTTGCCTTGCACGTCCTTAACCAAAACCAAATTTACACTTAAACTGACAATCCCACGTGCATTTTCTTTTCAGCTGTTCATCTTTCGCTGACACGTACAATACATAACAATACGCTGCCTAAAACAGAGCAAATGCCTTCAGTTAACCAGCTCCGGCAACTGCTCCACCTGCCCAAATGGTGGCTGCAGCCAGCACAGCCGCAGCAGACATTCTACCTTGGCAGTCCAAGGCAATGATGGCAATGTCTCAAGGGAATTAGGGGATTCCTCGTGGGATGCCTGTGTTCACTTGGGAGATGTTATGACTGTTATGTACATCATTACATAAAAATGTCTACTGTATACGTGTTACATCGCTTTACAGCATCTTTAAATCTAAGAATAAAATTGGACATATCATATGCATTACTCTTCATGGTGCCTCTACGCAAATTCGTATGGGTTGGCAATCTTTAAATCTTTACGCTGTGCGAGCACGACAAGACTGGGGAAACATGGGGAAACGGTGGGATGACCTCGAAAGACTTCCTTGGTACATCTTGGTACTGTCATACTGTCATAATGTTATGTAATGTTCGTATAGCTCAAAAATAGGGCGACAAAGCCCGGAAGTTGCTGCTGGATGTGTGAGAAATGAGCGTCGCTGAAGGATCTCTGAGCCAAGATACGTCGTCCCGTGGCATCGGACAGCGAAGACTGCTCCCTGCCAAAAAAAGCTTGGCTACAGTTTCTAGCAAAGGCTATAGTGTCCTTTCCTAGCAAGGAATTGCAAAAGGCAGGAGTCTTGGAGACTAACGCGAGTTTGAAAGCATCTTTCATGTATTGGCCTGGCTGGTGGGGAAAGCCCTCGGTCCTGATCTCACGAACGAAAGGTTTGAAGTCATGTTACAAAATGCAGGGACAGATATTTTGGGACAGTGGATATTTCGGGAGGTCTTTATGATTTGTCTATGCTGTTGGGTTGAAACCTTCTCACTATGTACTGCAGGATTCTCAGGTTCTACCACCAAAACGGACTTTTTAAAGAGATATGCTGCATAAGCTGCAGCCTTTGCCAGGGCAGGCATGCTCGTGTTATGTTTTGTCGAAAACTTGACGGTGGAAATTGTTGGCATTACATGTTGGCGCCAAGCCTGAGATCCTTCGGAAAAAGTGGGCTACAGGGTGCAAGTTTCTCCTTGGGGCCCAAAAGGTGGCCAAAGCTGGGGACGAAGGATTCTGTCCTGCGCTGCCAAGAGAGCCAAATACATATATATATATAACGATGCTTGCAAAACTTCTGCCGCAACTGGCTTGAGATCATGGCAGGTCACAGCTAATACTTTCGTACACATTCATATACTTTCTAGAGTGTTCTACTGCAGGCAGCTTCAGCCATCTCGGCATGTTCCCCTACTACGTTTGCCAAATGAGATCTTCCTTGTCATGTGAATCCCAAAGGACAATGACACTGCCGCTGACCAGGCCTAAGAGTTGCTAGACAGCAGGCCAGTGTAGCCAATGCGACCTTGACCCAAAGCATCAATCAGTCACAGGACCCAACCCTTGCTTTCATTGCCTGTCTCCGATCCGCAAGTGACATGTTGAAATCGACATTGTACAAAAAGCTCTGTGGATGCAAGGAGAACAGCCCTCACACAAAAAAAATACAGCTCTCAGAGCCCTGCTATGCTAGACCTTCTTCGACTTGGAAGGCCCTGTTGCCAACTTGACAAGAATTGACAAGATGAGGCGACATGCTAGGGCCTGCTAGGGGCTTGATCCGGTACATTTCCCCGTTGATGACAGTTGCGGCCTGGCATCTGGTCTGCAGCATTGGGCCTGGACTCAGGGTTCTTCGAGGTGGATTGAAATTTACAGGAAACTTTATGGGTCAAGCCCGTGGTACCCCGATGATCCCCGATGAACATCTAAGCTGGCTCCTTTGGAAGAAGCACGATGTGACATCTCTTGCCTTTGAATTCCGATCAGTGTCCAAACTCTACTCACAACTCGTCACTGAGCGAAGCCAACGCGGGGGGGGTTACAAACAAGAATAGTAAAGTAGTCCTGCATCCCCTGTATCAAGGTATTATCAAGGTTAGGTGCACTCAATTCCTTGACTCAAATGTCAAACGCCAAAAACGGACTGCCTTCAGAGCAACACTCGTGGGCACTTCCCAAAATTGAGCCAAAAACTGGCAAAGCGTTCCCAACATGCAAAACTAAAAAGCGAAAGCATTGATACGGAAGTGGAGCGGCAAGTTCTCAGAAGACTTCTGTTTGCCGCAATCTTTTTTTGAGCAACAGCCCGTCGCGCAGTATATCGAGGTCGTGGCACTGCAGTGACACCAGGCTCCTCTTTGAATCATGGCTCCAGGAGATTCCAAAGCCTCTTTGCTTCAGCGTGCCTGCAACATGGATGTAGCGGCTGCAAGCTACTGTGGGCATGTTGTTGGTCCATGTATGTCATGCCCCCATGTCCATGTCATGTTTTCAAGAAATCAAACCACAGTGTTTTGCGCACGCATTAACGGTCCAGAACGGTCCAAAGAACTTTGTCTCAGAGGAAAATCAGGGATGGTCGAACTCACAGGATATTATCAAGTTTTTTCCACGGCCACAGACCAATAGTTGAACTTTCTGGCATTGTCTTGCAAATTCAGTTTCATCATCGTCAGACTGTGGCGTGTGAGTCCTCCTTTGGAACAGACATGAACGGCAAAAGAATGCCTGTCATACATTGATGCAGTCTCAGGCATTTGGCCGCTTCCTCTGCAATATTGTCACAGTGAAAAACCAGTCACGGTTCTCCAATGTTGAGCCCTACATTTTCCCCTTCCAATTTTGTTGCATTTCAGCGGCCAGATTAGAACTTTACTATATAATTACTCAGCAAAGGCTTCATTCCTGGCAGTTGGAGCGTTTGATCTGCTGTGGCTATGCAGGCTATGGCTTCAAGAATCTTTTAAGAGCCAGTCTGCAACGATCACCGGTCCCGGGCGAGACTGTCTCTGGCACTGCAACAAAAGCAGAAGGACTTCTTGGGCTTTGCCTCAGAAGGTATGAAGAATATGAAGAGCAATAAGGACACACAAAAACACTGCGAGAAATGGATGCGAATGAATGCAAGTGGCTGCAACGTTTGATCTCGACATGTTTGACTCAGCATCTTCGACGGTAGCACTGGCCTGCGGGGCACTAGCCTCTAGTGGTGCTCGTGTTGCAGCAGTGTCCTGCTTGCCATGCAATTCGAAGCACGTCTTATTCCTTGCTTGAAAACCTGGACCTGAGATGTTTGCAATCAGAGTCGTGTCTTCAAGGTCCAAGGACACTTCCCTTATTCAAAACTTCTGAACATCTGAGGCAAATTCTCCTGAATCTGCACATGTTTTGCATCCGCTGCTTTCTGTTTGTCCTTCTTGTCCTGCTACACATTGGGAAAGAGTTACACATCACATCACTCGGCTGTCCGGAATCAAGCTGCGACACATGACACATGGCAGCAGGTACCTTGGTCAAGTCGACAACAGATCCTCCAAAGAACCTGAGCAGTACAGTAGGTCAGATGTGTATCCATCACGAAATCACAAAGGTTTGAGTGAGAAACAAACACCTGCCCCAAAACAAGTGTCAAGATGAGACCAGAAGCATCGTGAAATACCTAGATGTTGTTCAGCTGTACCAGTGACTAGAGGCTTTAAAAAGAACCTTGTCCTGGATCTAAGCCACATTGCAAGTTGCTTCCTGAGAATCTTAGGCGCATTCCTCACCGTCTCTTCTAACTGCGCGGCTTTTCGGGGCCTGCAAATTCTGCTTTGTCGGTCAAATCAAGCAAACAAGACAATATGTTTGCAAGGCTAAAGGTTTGCCTGGGTTCGGTGTCGAAGTTTACCAGCAATGATGCTCTGGACAATGAGGCCTTGCAATCTGTCCAGTGACTAACAAACACTAATTAGTCACTAAATCACTATAAATCACTATAATTCACTATAATTCACTATAATTCACTATATTTCACTATAATTCACTATATATAATTCACTCATCCTCATTCTACGTCTCAATCTTTTCAGGCAGCCACTGAGCGACGATGCAGGTTCTCATCAATTGCATACCTGGCTCCGCCTTGGAAGAACTTGGGCTGTGCTACTTCGTTGTTGCCAGCATAGTCAAGATCATTTGTTGATTTTGTTAATGTTTCATGCCACAAAAATATGCACTCTCCAACTCTTCTACTGAAACATACCTGCGCCCTGAGTCCAAACCTTAGAGGCGAGCTCTGGAACCAATGATTTCCGCAAAGCTTTCGATTTGCTCCATTGAGCAATGCCACCTGGCAGACTTCGAAACATATCTTTGTGGTCGGGTCGTACCGAGGTGCAGTACCAAACCACCGGCCTTGAGCGGCTGTGTGTTATGACCCAGCTCATGAGCGAGCTGCAAGGAGTCCACGTTCCGTCGCAGCTGTAAAATCTTCTTGAGCTCAGGACCTCACAACGGACGGGAGATCAGGGAGGTTGGGGGTTAAAAAACGCCAAACCGCATTGGGCGCTTGGGATGATCCTCCCATTTGAAATGGAATACTGAATACTACAAAATTCTGAAACAACCAGCCAGATTCCTGTATTGAAATCATTCAAAATGCCCTGAACCTACAAGAGCTTGAAGGTCAGGATAGGGGCTGCTGAGGCGAAAACAGCTTTGAACTTTGGCTGCTGCTGCCTGGAACATCGTTGATCTGATTTTTCACAACTTCAGACTGCAACTCTGTGAAAATGGAAGTTCGCCTCAACGAAACAGTTGTGATTGTCGATACTCTCCGGATTCACACAGACCAAGCCTCAGTCAAAAGGATCAGTGCACCCGAATAGTTCCGCAAAGGACCCGTCCGATTTTAAAAAAAGAGAGAGAGGGGGAAAAGAGAAAAAAGGAAAGAAAGAGATCCTCAGGTCATGGCACAAGTGCAACCTACAAGGTTTGCTTGTGGTTGCCTGTCATAGCCAGTACCGCTAATAGGTTGATTCACTGAGGCTTCTATGAGGTTGCAAAGAAAATTTATGAATAATTGTGAACCCACGTGAACCCCTTCTGCAAATGTGATTTTCCAACATGACATGTGTGCAGGTGATGTTCCACTTGCTTTATAGCTCGCCTTGCTCTTGCCAGACTTACTCCTTAGTTTGGCTTGAACAGGAAGATCGAAGCTGCAAACAAGATCCAACTAAGCCATGGGAAGCCAAGGCATTGAAGGGTCGCAAATTTGGGGCTTCCGATGGTCCCTGACTCAAGTACGGTTGGTTAATCTTTGCTACTTGTATGATATGCTGTGCAACGTGGCTGCACTAGTCACTGTCGCTATGAAGAAAATTGCTCAACATGGTCATGGATGGTCATCAAGTTCTGTGAGTTTTTAAGCATTGCATCACGCACTTGCTCATTTGGAGCACTTTCTTACTTAGTGTTTCCATCTTTTCCATCTCTCAAAGGAAAGCCGAGGTTGCAGCAAAGGGATGCAAATGTCCGCAATGGCATTCATCAGCTCGTCCTAGCAGAATCATATCTCTGGAAATTGTCTACATAATATGTAGATATATGTAGTAAGATGGAGCTTGCTGTAACAGAATATGTTCCACAATATCTGAGGATGCAACAGCAATCCGACGCTTCAGGTTTCGTATTCGAGCTGGGTCCTTCATTGTTGGAAGGCAATCAGAATGCCAATGGTGGGAGGGCGCTGTTACTTGCTTGATCATCAAGGGGACTGTGGTCAGACCTATGAGCTACTGAGTTACATTTATTTTAAGCATGTACAGACAGGGTACAAAGGCTCCGCAAACAAATCAGGGGCCTCATACCGGTCGTCATTCAGATTCAAATGACGAAGAAAAGCACCCATGCCTCAGCCCAAGCAGCAAAACCGCTCGAAAACCGGAGTTCGTGGAGGTTGGATGTGTGATGTGAATGGCTTGTTGAATCTTATTGAGACATTTAGCATATCTAAGCATCAGGTCAAAAGGGAAAAAAATCGCATCCTCCACCTGTGGATTCTGCAGGCATAAAAAGAGGGCTTGCATCTTTTATGCCAGAAATGGCCTCCAAGTACTGCACGGCTTTGAGCGCGTTCCTCCACAAACGAGCTATGTCCCCGATGTAGAGGTCCTTGCTTGGAAGAACAACTCACTGCAGTCACAGCTGTGGGAGACTGAAGGAAGCGAAAAGTTGTTGACTTTGTTCACTTTTGTTGCAAATCAGGCCCAGACTTCGTTCAAACGGCGAGACGGACGAAGTGGGCGATCTTTCCAGCAGCACCTTCGAGACTGTGAAGACAGGCGGAGAGCAAAGTTGAAGGCAGCTGACAGTTGCAAAACGTTGAAAGTGAAGAATGTGGAGGTTTGCTTCCTACGAGCGCTTCAAAAACTGCCAGAACATGTCTGAGAACAAGATTGTGCCAGGGTGATTGCCGTGCAGTAAATCAGTAAATCCGTCTGAACTTCAAAATCGGTGCCTGGAACTTGTTGATGCTGCTGAGTTCGTTGACTCCGTCCTGGAACAAATCATCAGCCTCTTTTGTTGCAGCACTCCACTTGGTCAGTCTGTGAAACGAGAGTTATGGAAGAGGTCCTGAATGGTCGGGAAGTTGTGCCACTCTCCTTGACAGAGAATCACAAATTTGTGGTCAAATGTCCCCAAGCCTCTGTATTTTTGTTGGACTTCTGAGCAAACATCGTAAACCTCTTCAACAGAGTAGGCCAAAAAGTCTTCCGCTTGAGCGCTCTCCCCTGGCGTGGAGCAAGCGCAACGCGAAAGTTGCAGTGATCCTGAAAGGTCGAATGGATATGCTCTCCATAAAAAGAATGATCAATGCCAGGTATATCCCGGGTATGTTCCAATGTCTTTGAGATGCCTACTGAGAAAATCATTAATCAGCAAATTCCAGTCACTTCATCCAGCGAACCCATTGAGAAGAAACAAAGTGTTCTGAATTTCATTATCGCCTGCTGAAATAGACACTTTGCTCTAAATAGTTGTCAATTGAGCTGAGACTAGCAGGTGCTTTCTATCTTTCTTCATATTTGCTTTGCATGAGGCTTCAACCTCACAGTTGCCAATCCTAGGCTGCCCCTTTTTTGCGCGAAATTGCCGTTTCCAGCCTATGTTTGGGGCCGCAGTGTGCAAGACCCAGAACCAGCCTTGTCACTTGTGCTGCCGAGCCGACTTCAGCGTACTGTCAGTCGCAATATGTTGCAATAAATGCAAGCTATTGAGAGCTGAGTTTCGAGCCATTGAAGCCCTGCCAAGCACAAGCACCAGACGACAAAACACGTGCTCTGCCACTTGAACAAAGACTGCTCACAGTGGTACTTGGGTGCCTCAGGACCATCACAGTCGAAAGACTGCGAGCTTGCCTGCGCTTTCCGCCAACCAAAGTGTCTTTGAAACCAAAGCAAGATAAAGCAAGCCTCCAACTAACCAAAATTGATGCGTTCATCATGTTCATGCTTCCTTTTTTTCAAATCCTCAGGGTTTTCGGCTGTGCCCACGTGCGGATATCAACTGGGGCTCTTAAATGAAGTCCTCAGTGCGTCTCGGTTCCAGCCCATCAGCCACTCTGCCTGGAGAGAGTTGAAGCCAGCATCATAGTCTGCAACCGCCGGAACTGCAACGACTTGGAACTTCACAAGTAGATACGTGTCCTCAGAAGCGGCAACCAAGCGGCAACTGAGCGGTAGAAAGGTTTGAGCATGTCTGAGCACTCAATTCAAGACATCAAGACATCCATCAATCTGGAATATATCTGTGGAATAAAGGGAAATTGGTGTATGCGTGGGTGCTTCATGGTGCTTCATCGTTTCCGCATAGTCCTTTCAACATCTTTCAACTTGGTTTGTTTTCTGCTTGAGGAAAGTTCTAAGGATTCCGCCTGTCGCCTCGCCAGAAAACCTTCAGCTTCTGCCTGTTTGGGCTTAGTTGTCATCTCGCCCTGAAAGAGGTGGACAGATGCCATCTGCTTTCTGGGGCCAGGCCTGCCAGGAGCAGATTTTTGAGCCGTCTCCGAAGGTTGAATAGGCTGAGGCCCTTGCGGCAGATCCTTTGCTCCTGAAGTCGCAACCTCCAGCTGAAATCAATGGGACATCAAAGCACCCTGATTGCGACAGAGGGGTCTATCTTCTAGTTATTCCATGTTGTTATCTTTACTTCAGCTTGGCAGATTCAAGAACCACCATGCCTTCTCCAAGATTTTCGCAGCCATGAACTCGAAGCTGGTCCATGAGCTCTGCACCTGTGGAGGAATGGATGCCTCAAACGCAGCCCATCAAGCGCCAAGCCCGGCCCAGCCCTGCCTCCTGAGAAAGCTGCTGCATGACGCGTTGCTTCGTGAGGTCCCTGACCTTCACGGTGTTGGTCAATTGAGTTTCTTTTTCAACACCAGGTCTGTAGATTGAATTGAACTGATGTCCTCGGAAGGAATAAAAAACGTACATGTGTGTGTGTGTCAACCTACAAAACAATACAAAACAGTGCTAGCAAAGCTAGCTGTGCTCTCGTTTCCTTGTTATTTGGTTTCCACTCTGTTGAGGCACCTTGAAGCGAAGATGGTCTGAGACCACTGGCATTGAAGCGTTTTTCTGTGCCTAAATCGTGCAGTTTCAACAGTTTTCTCTGACTCCTGAGGACTCCTGCACACTTAGGTTGCGGGATGGGAGCCTCGAACCCAGTCACCAGAGCTCTACGGCTGAGTTCCAAACGTATTTGGAAAAGCCCAACTCGTCTGGTTCGAAGGGAGAGCCCTCGCAGGAGCAAAGGAAGTGACACTTGTGATGAAAGATGACGAAGGCGTGTTTCAGGCTGTGTACTTGCAAGAACAAACAAGCCATACAAAAATTTACAAAATGTATCAAAATGTTGTAGCGATTCCAAGGAAATCCGTTGCCTCTGCTCGAAAACGAGTTTCGTGGTAGTCTTCCTTGACCTCGAATATTCAGACAAAGCACAATGTACCATTACATGTTCGCAATATGTCTGCCAATTGGCTACATTAAAAGAAACAAGAAATCAGTCCGCAAATTGGTCGTGATTTGCCAGGATTTGAACCAAAGGGAGAAGAGAAATTTCAGGCCTTGAATTTTTGATGGGTCTCACTTTGACTACTTCCCCTGCCTGCCAGCGTGTGGCACTGCCTCTGATGGCTGCTCCAATCTTTCCTGCAGCTGCCTGGCAAAAAAGATCACATGATCTTCTCATGCTCAAACCAATTCCACCATCTTCAACGGGCAACACTGTCCTCCTGCTCTGCAGTGTAGACTTTGTCGGGAAGACCTGCAGAGGTTCAAGTTGCCTGTACCATCCTGTACCATCCTGTACCTATCTATCCTTTAGGGCTCCAGTATCATAACCGTCATAACCTCATCCGTCGCATCTGCTTAGGAACCCGGGACCTCTGGAGGAGCGAACAGGTAGAGATGCTGTCACAGTAGCCAGATCGTCCACCTCGGCAACCCCGTCTGGCTTTGGTTCATAGCTGCGGTCTGGTGTATTGTGTGTTTCAGGTGTCCAGGGAAGTCATTGATCTGGGTATCTTCACAACATTTCACAACTTTCAAGTTGTCAGAAAATGTCCATCTGATTCACGCAGGTAGTCAAGGTCGCAGAGAGACAGTCCAGCACACCATGGTCGGAGCGCAATAAGTAAACACGCAGAAGGCGCGTGTTGGGAAACCGGTGGAAACCTCCCATGATTGGCTGCTTCAGAACCCTGCACAATGGGCTTCTCTTCGCAAGGCCCAGTCGCCATCCAATCTTGATTGTCGACTAGAAGTGACAGTGAATAAACTGACAAATGACTCTGATTTCTTGGGCATCGGACTTTGGGAGCAGTGCCATTCTGCTCCATGGTACTGTCCTGAGAGTTTCCTTTCATTTTAAAAACAAAATGAATTTCGCACTTGCTGTTAACAAGTGTGAAAAAGTCTCCTCATCTGAGGCAAAGGCATCCTTAGCAGGTCCTGAGCCAGCATCTGGGTCTGCTTATACCCCCAAGGCATGATCTCTATCTTTTCCAAACGCCTTCCACTTGCTTCGGCGCCGAATCCTTGAGCTTTGACGACCTGTCCAATGTTGCAGTCGCAAAAAGGTCAACTGACCTTTTAACTGCTGCATGGCTGCGCCCTGGGCCTCCAGAACTTGCAGCCAGTCATCAGCGAGCAGAAAGACAAGCTCATTCTACATAGAGAAAGTTGAGAAAGGCCTTGGTGAGAATCTCAACATGTCTCAAAATGTTGCAACTCTCGAATCATATTTTTAATCATGCATCAAAGTGGCAGCATTGCATGTCGTGACTCTGCTTCTTGATGGACACAGAAGGAGCAACTCTGGCGTCTCACTGAGCTCCGCACGCTTCTGCCCATATTTGGTGCAGCTACACCAGATTACCCATTAGAAAATCTGTGGAGGAGGGTCATGTCGAAGTGACTACTGCAAACCGCAGACTTGGGATGGATGGATCACTCTCTCTTCAATTGTCTTTCTAAAATCATATTATCATCATTCTTAATCCGGAATCCGTGAACAATTGTGTTGAAAGCCAAGCTATTTGCGTGGGTTGAGAATTTGCTGAAGCTAACAGTGTCATATACAATACCGCTATACGTTCAAGAACGAAGCAAACGCTTGAGCAGCTGCAGCTGCAACCCTTCCAACCCTCTGACGAATTCTGGAAGAAGGGAATGAGCGTTCACATTCAGCCATTTCCATCTGGCGATTTGCCAAGGATTCAATGATCTTTCTTGAAAGCGCACTCAAGAGCTCAGGCTCTTTGATGTAGCGAGATACCATGTGGACCATGTCAGCTAAACAGGCTGATGGTCCATTGGTACCTAACTCCTCCAGATTCCTCGGACCACAGGATGGCACTGCGTTGCTTTTTGCAGCACGCCTTCAAGAGAGCCGGCACTTCACTAGCACACTAGCAGTGTTGTGAGGTTTCCCAACGGCTGAACCGCTACCCACTGCAAAAGGACAAAAAAATATGAAGTCACCGCACGCGCTGGTCGATGTCTGAATCTCCCACTTAGGGTCAGCCTCCGGCAGCACCTGCAGCACCTGCAGCACCTGCAGCACCTGCAGCACCTGCAGCACCTGCAGCACCTCAGCCGCCTTGGGCTCAGCACCTATCTCTTCCTCCATCTGAGCATGATGAGCTTCACACTCCTCTTGGCTTACCACCTTGATCACCTTGTAGGCCCACCCAAACGGACCACCAGACGAACCCTCTGACAGCGCCCAGGGCCAGGAAGATCACCACACCAGCAGCGACACAAATGCTTGGGACAGCTACAAACATCACCAGGATGTAGATCAGGGGCACAAGGCGCCAGTAAGAAGCATAGAAAGCAAGGGTGCAAACAGCTTTGATGACCACCGAGCGCATCAGTGGCACCGGGAACCAGATCAGAATGCCGATGATGTTGAACAGCAAATGACAGAAGGCAATTTGGACGCTGTTCGCCTTCATAACAGCCAAGGCCGCAAACATGAAGGTAAAAGTTGTACCGATATTTGGTCGTTCATATTGGTTCCTTTCATGATCACTTTCTTGAGGCTGTGCATCAGCTTCACCATAACAGGGCTCCACACAGACCAAGCAGTGACAGTAGTAACAGTCCAATGATGCCGCTACGTTTTCAGAAAGCCACCTTTGATCGTTCTTCCCGTCTCGATGTTTTCTGTGTATTCCGTGGAGTTGGTATAGCAGTTCATCTCTGACCAGAAACGCTCCCAGTGCAAGCAGTCGAGGTTTCGTAAGCCTCTTTTGCATTCTGCAACCTTCTTCCAGGCTTTACTCACATCGGAATTCACACAATATTTGGTGCAGTCAGTGCCACAGCTCAGGGCCTCAAAGCGCGCCGAAAGACGATGCCTTGATTTCCAAGACCAGCTTGGTGAATGGGCTCACAATCTCTTTGGGAGAGGGAAACCTTAAGTCAGATTCTCCACCTCCCATGGCAGCCTCTTTGACCCCTTGAGATGAAGTAAACCGGCCTCCTTCCTCTGTCGTGGCAGTGATGATAATTTCGATAGGCAACAGAGTCACCACCGTGAACTGTAACTACACTGTAGCACCAGGGAAGGCCCGTTGCAATTCCAGGCGATCCCCTGGGTGTGCCATAGAAACGATGGTGTTCGTCACGGAGGTACCAATGTTGGCGCCCATGATGGGATGGCGTTGCGAACTGACAGGACATCAGCTCCCGCCAACCACGATGCTGGTACTGGAGGAGGACTGTACCAAGACCGTTGCCAAAATGCCAACACCCAGGATCTTCAAACCAATCGGCTACCAGCTCCGCATTGCACATGTGAGGGCTCATGAGCGATGCTGAGCTGGTAGCGGATTGGTTTGAATGGTGGAAAGGTCATCACAAAGACTGCGAACTCCCCGTTTCTCTGCTCCTTTGCTTCAGCCATTGTGATCAAGCGGAAAATCTGCAACGAAGTCAAGTTTGAGCCAAATGTTAAATGTGTAGATTAAGGATAAATCGCACGCTGCCTCCAGAGTGACCCGCATGCAACATGGATATGGCAAGCAGGCAGACAGACATGAAAAACATCTACAGGCCTGGGCTCTCTCGGCTTCCTCGGAAAATGCTGTGCTCCTAGCAGATCCTGACCCTTCTTTTTACAAGCAAGGATTGAAATATATTGAAATCATGCTGCATCATGCTTCCTTCCGGTTCTTGGTCAGCTGCATGTACCATCACTTAGCCCACTTCCATTGGGAGTAACCAAGCCTCGGTACTCTCATCTTGGCACCTTGTCTCCTTTGACCAGGCACATTGACTTTTCTCTGATTGTCTTTGCTCCGGTCTGTGGTTTAAGGCGGAAACCGCCCGAAGCTTTGTCCGGATGTGGAACCCCACCTGCATCCACTTCGGCTAGTGGATCCACTGCGCGTTTGTGGTCGTAAACGTTGAGCAGCCCCAAAACAGATCTCTTTGGAAGGAGAAATTCAAAAACATTGGAGTTTCAAATTTAAGACAAGCACCATCTTCCAAAGTTCAGAGCAGGAATTAGAGACTGAATAATTCCACAGTGAATCAAGGCAAACATTGAATCCCTATCTGCTTTCTTGTGACACTATCAGGAATGTGCTTGTGACTGATGAAAACCGAAGGCTGCCCGGCTGCCCCACACACAGCGCAACGCCTCTGGAACGGCTGGTGCTTCTCGCTCGTCTGCCACTCCTGGAAACCGAGGACCCCCAGAGGGACCAAATTGCAGAGCTGAGGACACTGAGGACACGACTCTCGATTTTTCGAATCAGACCTCAGTGAACTGTCACATGACGTTGGGGATCGCCATCTTGTCCTTTAAAGGTCATAAGGTCACTATCAAGATCTGTCAAGAATGTCCTGACCTAGAACTGAATCCATATCTGCACACCATTCGGAGCAAAAGAAACACGAAAAGCATCGAAAAGCAATAAAATCGATGACCAAGCAGATGGCTTTGTATCCCTGTGGGCCTGCAGCAAATTGTTATCATCTCAGAATCATCTCTGCAGTCTTTGCAATCGTTCAGTCTGGAGTTTCTTAAAAGCAAAAAAGAACTGCGCTGGCAACACATCCCTTTGCACCTGGGAAGCATGTGGAGTGGACTCCTGGAATTCAGAAGAACAATTCAGCTCACTGGAAAAAGCTGATACAAATGATTTTTCATGATTTTCCCATTAAAATGCCCATCTACCGCCATGTCTGATTACCAGAGGAACACAGAAAATGAGATGGTTAGGTCCTCCTCAGTATCCCAAAGGGGAGAGTAGGGTCCATCGCTGAGGCATGCCGCCAGCACGTGCTGAGCCAGGGGGTCAAACGCTCGAACTTGGGGCTTCACAAATTGCAACAAAAAGGGAGAACAAACCGGCGTTCGGATCCCCATCCTTGAAACGATGCAACATTGTGTAACATCATCAGAATTTATTGAGTTGTAATGAGTTGTATTGAGCCTTCCCTGTGTTTTTTCCATTTGTTTTATGATAGTTTGTATCACCCATGGTATGTGGATCTCGCAGCTCTGCTTGATGCTCTCTTCGGATCTGTTGGGACCATGACCTTGCCTCGCAGGCAACGTGCGTTGCAGCGCACCGTCGGAGGTTCCTGATCCACAGGCCGTACAGAAAGCACGCCAAAGGCTGCAGTGGATGCAAGATTCCTATGGATTTCTAAAGCATGTCAGGCTGAATGATGCTGAATGACTCTGAAAATGCAACTGAAACCTCCAAAAGCTTGCAGGCCTCAACTGGAAAGCATGTGGAAGAGGCATTAACCCCAGTATACACCTGAAGAGGAGCTTGGGAGATGCGGAGTAAATGCTCGTGTCAGTCAGAAACCAATAGAGCTTGATCGAGACAGATCACTTGTTTTGACCTTCACTCGAATTCGTCACGAATAACGTTTTTTGGGCAAACTGGTATGTGCCACAGAGTCAAAACAAAGTATCTATATATTGGGTATGGTTGACCCCACCATCATTAGGATTCCTTATATGTCTATATATATATGTATATATATATATATGTACATGTATATATATACATACATATATACATATACATACATATATACATACATATATATATATGTATATATCCCCACCATCATTAGGATTCCTTATATGTCTATATATATATGTATATATATATATATATGTACATGTATATATATACATACATATATACATATACATACATATATACATACATATATATATATATGTATATATATAATATTATATAATGGATATCAATAATTATTAATGAATATTGATGGATCGGTTAAGCCATATGAAGACCTGCTGCTTCAATGGACAAGCCTGGGAAGCAGCTCCTTGGCTTCGTCTGAGTTTGAGATCTCGTGCTTTTCCACCTGCACGTAGCGGAGGTTTCCTAAAATATAGGTGCCCCAAACCATTGGATTTACCATACCCAATTTTGGATGATTTTGGTATATCCCCCGATATTGGAAACCTCTATTTGTGTCTTGTGATTCACAAATGATGATGTGGCAGGGTGATACAGTATGACGGTTTGGTATCTGTGCGATTGCGCTCAGTCCAAATGTCTCAACAATGCAAGCATCAATCCTACTGATACTGTCTGGTCAGGAAACAGGCTTGCTCTGGTGCTACGAGTCTTGTTCTCGTCTTCCCTATATACAGGTATGTGCCATTTGAGCACAGACTGTTTGGAAATCACTGATCAGAACGAACTCACGGGTTTGCAAAATCCTGAACGCAAGTCATCGCCAAGCATGGTGAACCTCTGCTTCCAGAATTGGCACCGTTGCTTCAAGGAGACCCGCAATGGGAAAGAGATGAACCTTTCAGAAGCCGAAGGCAAAAGAACTTCGTTTCAATGTGAAGACAAGCCATCAGGATTATATAACAAATCGCACCATGTCTGCACACCTCAACTGCTTCCTGCCATTGCCGATTCAGCTCTAGAGCATTGTCACCCTCCTCCACAAGTGACAGCAGTGTGTGACTGTGTGTCTTCAACATCATGTCAACAATTGTAAACATGTATCTACATCCAGAAGGTCCAATCCTCCGACCCCTTCGTGAAAGATCAGGCTTCGGATGGATGCAGACAGCTTGCGGCTTGCGCTATGGAGAACGCTCTCGAATAGAAACATGCACATCTAGCGGCCTTTAGCCATCTTTTGCCCATATTTATCATATTTGTATATGTTTGTACTACCCAAGAAATTGCATCAACAGCATCCCAAGCAGCAAATTATGCTCTGATGATCTCTGATGCTTGGCATAATTTGGATCATCCCAGAACAGAATCTGGATAATCTGTGGTAATCCAACCTGGCAATGAAGAAAAAACACGCTTTGCTATCTGCAAAAAGAATGGCAGATCATGTCTATGAAAAAATGTCCAGAGGCGGTAAATGAACATGGGATAAATTTACATAATATATGTATATGTATATGTATAATTCATAGTCTGGAATAAAAAAGCAAGATCAATTTGTGTATAGAGGTGCAAGGAGGCACGGGGACCATCGGGGACCGGGGAAGGCAGATGGATCCAGATGGATCCAGTTGGCCACAGACATGTTGGGAGACACGATGAGACACGAGAGGAAACAAGGGAAGATATGGGAAGATAATCTCATGAACTGGGTCTATTTCCATACAGCAATGTTTGGTGAAATGCGCGGATACTGACCATCATTGTCACTGTCCTGAGCCACATCAGCAGTCTGGACCTGTGGTACCTCAGCAGCAGAGCTCCAGGTTGGGATCTTCCACTGTGGTCTCCAATGTGTTCAGCTGAATCCAACCCTACGCAGCTTTATTTGTTATCCCCCTTTCACATGCAGCAAGACTGAAAAGACGACTGCGATCCACTCTCAGGCATCTGCGAACGAGACAAGATCTCGGAAAATGGCCTGCAAAACGCCGTGGCAAGCCGATCCAGTCATTGTTGCATGAATTGTCACGCCTGTCGGGTCATCAGGCCGTAAGCAAGATTCGTATTGCTCGAGTATCTGTACCTGGCATTTCGACAAAGCAGTTTTAGCAGTGGCAACATGTGGCAACTGCGTTCTGATTGCGTCGGCGTACTGGAGGGCATTGTCGAAGACCTTACAGAAACACGTCGAAATTACAACGAAAGCGCACCTCTCATTCCAAAATCCACCGATTGCGTAGCACTTCTGTCTTGCAGGCATCCTTCTGTGCTATCTGAGCCCAGGACTTCCAAAAGGAGGGGAAGATGGTTGGCAATGCCTTGCCTGACCATCCAAATGTGGAAACCAAGCAGCTTGTCACATTCTCGTCATGAGCCTTGTCATGCTCTAGATTCTCCTGGTTATCATTTCATACGAACAAAGGCCTGTTGCGCTTGAGCTGCACTGCTTTGGCACAGCGCTCAAATAGAGAAAACCTCGCCGCATCGCATCACTGGTAGAGATGTCCCGCAGACTTTTGGGTCAGCAGTGACATCTGCGGCTAAGCTCTCAGACAATCGAGATGATACTTCCATGCAAAGCCCGTCCGCGAAGGCAGAAACGTTGGCGACAGTCGCGAAGCTCATCTGTGGTCAGAACATTTCTGCAAAATCAAAGAGCCATAAACACAGAACGAATCAACATTGAGTATTGGAGGAGGGTTCCCTGGAAATCTGCCCAAATCTGCCCAATTTCATCGTGGAAACCCGCAGCACCCGCCATCGCACGGCACACTTCCTGCACATCCCTTGGACAGCACCCGGGACAGCAGAATCCCAATACCAAACCACAAAACAGAACCTACCACAGGAGCAAGCCGCACCCGCAATGCCCAAAGATCCTGAAACTGATGGCTCTGCTACTCTCGCCAAATCATAGAGAACTCGACTCAAAACCAGCAGAATCCAACAGATAAAAAGATGGAACTCGGCTCAGATATGGATCCAGTGTCGATATATCATCCCAGTGGCCAACAGAAATCATGGCACCAACCTGCACGATGCTGTCCTGCACTGTGCTCGCCTTCATGGGACTATGGGTCGACATTCAAGACCCAACCCAGGGGCCCAGGGGGTCGTTGCCATGCTTTTCATCATGGATTTCTGTGTTAAATTCTGTGTGCCTTATTTATGACATTTATGACCCAGCCCATACGCACATTGCGAATTGCAACATTTGTCGCCCATTTCAATGAAGCCTTGCTCTTGTTCAAGAACTCGCTGGCCTGACATGGAACTGAAAGTTCAAGTCTGTCTTGTGAAAATATGTTTAGTATATTTTAGTATCACACAGTATCAAAAGCGTGGGAAAGTTCTTGGAACAAGAAATAGTCGACTGCGAACTTGCATCAACTATCATCAATTACCATCAACTTGCCTGCGTCAATGCTGCCATTGCCACAAGGTCCGCCACTGATCCCTGGAAGCACAGCTGAAACGGCTGAAGGGTTGGCTTCGGCCGGAACTTGGGGCGCTTTGCCTCGAAGTCCGGAACACTTTCTGGCGCATTGCCCTCATAGTCCTCAAAGGTGATGGTAATGTCGAATGTGTTGAGATGTGTACGGTATACTAAATATGTTTAAATGGTTTTAAACATGAACTGCAAGAGTAAATTGCAAATCAAAGGGGAGACCATCACAGTCCTCTTCAAGTTCAGCGCAAACTTCCCGGTACCTCACTTCATAAAAAATAAGAGTCTTTCAACAAGACACAATAGAGCAACATGTTCAACAGTGCACGAGGTGAGATTCAGCAGAATTGCCGCCTGGAAGCAACAACAATTATACAACACAAGACAATCTCCTGTGAATTGAAGGAAATACGTTATGATAAGAATGGTAAGAGTCTTAAGAGCAAAAATTGAGCCTCAATCAGGCTCAAAGTTGTCTCACACACATGCTCCGGAGCCTGCCAGGTCGACCACGACAGCGACATGCGGCTACCATGGATTGCCATGGATGCACGCCATGCACGCCATGCACGCCTGGCTTGCTGCCAAGAGAACGCCCTCTATCAAGCCAATGATGTCTTCAGCCTCGGCGACTCGGCGATGGGCTGAAAGCATCGGCTAATGCCTCGGCTAGTGCCTGTTGTGCAACTGGGCAGTGCAATAACTTAAGGGCAGCACACAGGCACCTGGACAGTACATGACACAATCATAACCGTCAAAACCAGACGAAAAAAAAACATCAAATCAAGAAAAAAAACATCAAATCAAGATTGCCTGCCACGAACTTTGGACAGGCTGTCAAGTGGAAAACCTCACAGTTGGTCGAACACAACCATTTCAAGTCAAAGCGAGACAACAAAAGCATACAAGAGCATTGGGTCATCAATAGTAATTTGGATCTGGGTTG